TTCAAATTTCGAAATTATACAATGTAATTTAGATTAAGAACTGCTCATGTTGCATGTATGCAGGATCTTTGTTTGGATCAAGATTAAAATGCAGTGGTTGCCTCTAATTTTAAAAGGAAAGAGCACAGACAAAGCCTTATTTTGTTTATATGAAGAGATTTATTTTATTTGTGTTACTTATTTATTTGATTTGGGGCTTGTTTTAAAATTTCAATGTAGTTTTGTTATTTACATTTGCATTATATTAAAATTTTGTCATTTAGCAGACACTTTTGTCCAAAGAGACTTACAAATGAGGAAAATAGAAGCAATCAAAACCAACAAAAGAGCAATAATATGCAAGTGCTATATTAGTATATTAGTATGTTATTATAGTGTTATATTTCAACTTCACAAAGAAATGTTCAGCATTTTGTCCAAGCAATAATAAAAGGACACATTTAATTTATAATTTGTCTTAAATCTCATTTAGTTAAAAAATAATAATAATTGTGAATCGAATCGAATCATGAGTTGAGTGAATCGTTACATCCCTATTCGTTTTGCATTGTAGACAGCTTCAGTGACTATAACAGGAGTTTTTGCGAGAGTCCACAAATCATGGACCACCTCAGAGACGGGGAACGGTCTTTGCTCACTTTCTGCATGTAATTTATTCTCAGTTTTATTAGCAGTGTAAAGATGACTTTTGTTGATGTTGATACAGTTTTATTGGTAAGAGTCTATATATTCTGATTGAAGTAACTGGATAAATTTAAACATTTGACATAAAAGACAAATATTTAATGATTATTATAAAAGGCAAAAAATTATGTGGAACCCAATTCCACGGGGCAAATATTGCTCCTTAATGGAAAAGTTGATTTCTTACCCTGGAAATCATCACAACAATAAGAGTGGTATCGTAATACTACATGATAGCTGCTACCACACCATGAGACATAATTAGTATACATCTGTTATACACCAATGGTGCAAAAAACGCCAACAGTAAGAAAACAATACAGACCCAGACCGGAGTAGGAAGGAGAAAGACAGAGAGGACTGGAGCTCAATCACTGAAAGATAACTGAAAGATAATGGAGCATATGAGAGAGACAGAAAGACTGCGGATACCTTCATTCCCTCAGGGGAAAGCTCCTGCTGGCCACTCACTCGCTCCATGGTCACAAGAGCGGCGCTAGTGGAAAAAAGGAGAAAGACACTGAAGAGGCCATTCACTCAGAACTTCATTTACTTTGAAAAACCCAAAACTTGAGCAGTTGAATTGGGAAAAAATGCAAGGTCTCGAGAAGTGTTTTTTTTTTTTTTTTTTTAGTTAAACTTTTTTTAAACTTGAGCAGCACATTTTTAGAACGGCATGCCACACGCAAGACAAAAGATGCAAGCGCAATGATGTAAGATATCCATCTAGAGCAGGGGTCGGCAACCTTTTTGACATGTGCCATTCAATTTTTTCTTGGCAGTTACTGTGCCATATCAACATTAATGTTTAATATTATGGTTTATTTATTATATCACAATATAATTGTTCAGTAGATTTAAACGGTCAATAAACATAACACGCATAACAGAAACAAAATTTTTATTTTTGGGGACAAAAAGCAGCAAAAAAGCATTAAACATTAAATTAGTGATCAAAGGCGTCTTTCCAAACTGTTTTTAAGAGAACACTGACATTTATGTTAAGTTTACCAATGGAACAATATTAAAATAAAATGTTTTAAAACTGTTATAAGCTGTTAGGCAAGCCATCAAATAAAACCTCTGCGCTAGAGAGGAAAGCATCCTTAATGTATTCTCTGTCCGTGAATGGCTTTCCATGTTTAGCAATGCAATGAGCAATTCGGTAGCTTGCTTCAGTAGCATTGTTTTTAGACTGAGCAAAAACATGGAGAGTACTGGTTTGCTTTTCATAATTGGACACAGTGCGCCTGATGGACTCTGCCTTATCTGTCTGATCTGTAAAGGATTTCTCGTGTTTTGTTTCAAAGTGGCGCTTAACACTAGATGTGCAGCACACAACATTTTCGAAACACAAAGTGCAAACGGCACGATCTTTTTGAAAAATAAATCCATATTCTTCTCTCCAAGACGGCTGAAATGACCGAACATCAACTTTTGCTTTCTTTTGCGTTGCCATTTGTTAACCTCGCCTGAAGTTCAGCACCACGGTGAGCGCAAACTGTGATCGCTGACACGTGACGTCTATGCACAGTGACAACTTTAACAAAAATTTAACCTAATTATGTATAAGGGTTATGTCATTTGTCATGCGAATGTTTGTTGGACTAAACAAATAATATTCATTTTGCAAAAAAATTTAACATTAATTTGCATGTGCTTAGTGTGCCATTGATTTTCCCTCAGCGTGCCAATAGTGGCACGCGTGCCTAAGGTTGCCGACCCCTGATCTAGAGAGTATTTACATTGTAAAAAGAGAGTAAAAACTTGTATGTGAACCAGCCCTTAGGATGGTGTCACATTTGGTTTGATTGCAGTTTTTTTTCCAGTGCAGCAGACCACTATACGTATGGTTTTAGCCAGTGTTAATTTCGTTGACGAATAATTTTCGTGAACGACATTTTTTCACCGACGAAAACGAGACGATAACGAAATAAAAACTAGTTTTGAATGACAAAAACTATGACGAAAATCTATTGACATTTTCGTCAATGAATAAAAACCCGAGACGAAAATTTTAGGGAGGGACGATTTGGTAAGACATCCAGTCAGAACGACTCTCCTGCATGGTTAGGAGGCCAGATGCGCACATTTGAAGTGTAAAAGCCTACCGATCTATCCGGCGGGACGTAAGCTAACATACACTTGCTGCACGTCTCAAAAAACGTTAAAAATTGTCAATATCTGGGAGTAAGAGAAGAGCAGACATTTGGACACAAATTTGAAAAGCATGACGATGCAAAAGAGAACTCAATTCGGTCCAGTTTTCTGAGCGCACACACCTGAAGCGCACACACAGAAAAGCGCCTCTCAAACAGCGCACGACTGAATTCAGCTCTCTTTCGCTTCGCATGAACGGAGAAATACACACAAAATTATGTTGAATTGTCCGTTTTGACGAGTATTCAAGTAAACACACTCGGTTACGTCTTAAGTGAACATAAACAGTTGGGAGAATATCGGATGTGTATCATTATAATTAGGGATGCACCGATACCGATACTGGTATCGGTATCGGGCCCGATACTGAGCTCCTGTACTCGTACTCGTTAAAATGCCCCGATACCAAACGCCGATACCACACAGCATGTGATAAGCGCCATATTCAGACAATGAAACACCGACAACAGAACAACAGACAGCAGACAGATATAATTTTTTAAATATTTTTTTTACTAGTGGATGCAGGACACTATAGTTCATTTATATAAGTGAGGATAGCAAAATAAAGTAAACTGTGATGTAAATAAATAAACATGCCTGCTTGAAATAATAAAGAATGTGTTAAGTTGTTATAAAGAATGCATATTATATAACCATTGTTATTTCATTGAAAGCAGGACCATGTACTTGCTTTTTTATGAGAAGTGGTTTTATTTCATTTTAATATAAAGGCATGTTGTGTGTCACAACAGTTAAATCTGTGTCTATATTGCATGATAAAACCTTAATATCAAACCTATATAATGAGTTTGGAAATTTTAGAGAAATGCTTAATAAATGCATTACTCCAACTAAACCCATTAGGTTTTAGCCAGATTTAGTCGACTAACACAATTCAGATGACTAAAATATGACAAACTAAATGGCATTTTAGTCAAAAGACTATGACTAAGACTAGATCGACATTTGCTGTCAAAATTAACACTGGTTTTGCAGAATTTGTGATCATTTAAGCATGTGGGGCTCTGTATTTCTTTAACTTCTCTTTGGCCTAAATGTTTCTCTGTATACGGTGATAATAACATTTGACTCAAAGCAGCTTTAAGCGTGCAGGAAGCGTTCATGCAGAGATGCTTGAGTGGGCTGTAAGCTGCTCTGTGCTAAATGACCTTACTCATGTCTGCTGTCATCTTCACGATCATCTGAGAGAGAACACCTCCAGGTCTGCTTAAAGCCTCCATCTCTCCTGTCCTCACATTTATCCAGAGCTATCAAACACATCAGAACAACGTATCAGAACATGGCCATAAGGAATATCATAAGAAACTTTCATCATATCATATCCATTTGATTATATAAATTTTTATTATAAGGAATCAAATATTTATCTTTTGAAAAAAGAATTTAATAAGAAATCAAATGTAAATATAAATCAACTTTCAGCACTCCAATATGCATTTGAGATGCAATGAGCTGCAATTTGGTGAAAGGGTTCAAAGAGACTTTTAATCTCCAACGATTCATGAAAACTGCTAAGAAAATTAAAGACATTATTAATGTCATGAACTATTTCTACATACATACTGAAACTTTGCTCATCAATGAATCCTCCACTTGCAGCAATGACCGCTGTGCTGATCTAACACTTCTACCAGATATATTAAAGCAAGGGTTAGGCCTATATTACCGCAAAATATTCTCACAAACTGGCTGAAGGGGGGTGGGATTTATATTATACAGTATATATATGGTTCAACGGATCATATTGTGGTTTTTGAGTCACGGATCGGATGATTTTTCAGATAAGCAAGAAAAAAAATATTTAAAGCACAGAGAATGAGAATGCCAAGAAGGGTTTTTTTGACAATTATACGTGTATGTACCTCAAACACAAGGAGACTTGAAAGAGGAATCAACTCATATGCGTGTGCGTGCTTCGCGTGAGTAACAAATTGAGTTCTCTTTCGCTTCTTGTGGTTTAAAATCTCTTGAACGTGTAAATTGGCAAATTAATCTGCGAATCACATGCGTGCTGAACTGTGGGGTCTGGTCTGTACGCATCACAGATCAACTGCGATCTGTTTAACCCCTAATATATGACAGATAAGAACAATCATTCATTTACTAATTGAACATTTAATTTACATGAAATCGTCAAATTGCTACTCCAATTTTTGGCTACACATTTTTCCCAGAACGTTCTAGGAAGATCTAGTCTGTGTTCTTCTTTCAAGACAGCAGTGCATAGAATAGCATCCTTTAAAAAAAATAAATAAATAAAAAAAGTGTAAAACCAAATTTTGATTCACATGTGTACAATAACTTGCAAGAAATGCAAGCATACTCAATAAATTGGTAACTGGAAACGGATATAGGCTACAGCCGTTTCCACGCTTCATTATTAAGTACAAACATTTTTAACTGTGCTAATAACAAAAAAAGGTCTCTGGAGTGCCAAATCAGCATATTAGAAAGATTATGTAACACAGTGTTTCTTACAGTGTGTAAGCAGTGTGTCACATAGTGTCAAAAGCAAGCAATAAACTAATGCACTGTTCAAATATTGGTATACATATTAATATATATAATATATAATATTGATTTACACTACTTCCGACTAGGGCTGCACGATTAATCGAATGCGATTGTCATCTTCCGACAACAGGAAAATGGATTTGCAATGTTCACTTTGACAGCCTCAAGACGGTGCATCACATCAACTGACGCAGTTTTAGGACATTTTCCCACCTGGCTTGTTTGGAGCATTTGTTTCTGAATCTGGCACATTTTCAGCCTTAGTACGGTTCCTTCAGGCACATGTAAACACAGCAATTCTGCTCTGCACCAAAACAATCAGTCCGAGATCGCCTTCATCTTAAACTGCTGTGTAACTGCTCTTTCTGAAACCGGTGCATAACACGAATGCTGTCCCGATGAAGGCTCTATCTGTTAAATTATATCAAATTTATCAGCGGGAATGATGGCTACAATCACAATCAGCCCACTAAGCTAACTTCTGGATGGCTGACGCCACGAGGAACATAAAAAAGTTGTACTCTGACCAATGAGAGGACAGTTTTACTCACAAAAACTAAAGCATTTTGGTATGCTTTCACAAGTTGCCTTGTGAAAACAAACCAAACCAAGAAGAAAATGCAACATTTTAACAATTTAAGGGCCTGTTTCAGAACAACGCAAACGATCCTTAGACACAGTGTTAGAAGTAATGGCTGCAGAAAAGATTTCTGAAAATGGAAAACATTTATTATTTCTATCAAAAATCAATCACACTATTACTGTTTTTTTTTCCTTTTGATTATTTGTAATCAATTAAATGCTATATTGATGAGCAAAAGCATAAATTAATTTATTTTTTAATGGCGATTCCAATTTACAGCTCTATCTATCTGTCTCTGTGTTCACCTATATTCCTAACTATCTCTGTAAAAACTCTATTGTATAAAGCACTATACATACACAAGGAAAGGTGACTTGACCATTTTTAAAAACCACTCTTCAGACAAGGCTTTGTCGAACCAGCATCAAAGTTTTTCTTGATAAAACTGCATATAAATTAGAAACATAACATATTTGATCACATTTGCAAGTGTAGTCGACATGAATGTGAACATTTCATTCATGTCTTTTATGTATTCTGATGGCAATATGATTATTCTGCAGATGAAAACAGGAGAATATATTCATTCGTATATGAGAGGAAAATAATATTTTCACGTAACGTTATACTGATATTACAGAGTTGAAGGGCAGGGCCCACGTTGAATCAATGAGAAACACAGCTAAAAATCTCAAGTCGTGATGAATACATATAGTCCTATTTATTGTTGATGACAAGGCATAATGAGCACATTTAGAATGATTTAAGATATATAACGTTTTATTTTTTTTAAATTCAATGATTTCTGAAGTTTGTTTATCTCGCATAGCATCAGGCCCCAGTCTGCTTTAGCATTTATACACTGAAACAGATACTTTAACAAGGGGACAGACCTTCAAACTACACATGTGTAATACAATGCACTTTAATGTAAGTATATTTATTGTTTAATCAGCTCAGATGTTTATATTTTTGCAGCGTGAATGCTGCTGCTCGGTTAGCACGTGCGCTAACGCACACACGATTAAATCTGACGGATAATATGCATAATCACATTTATACACTAACACAAGACAAACAGCACATTAAACCCCAATAAAGACACAAATACATAAAGCTCGCGTCTTACCTTCAATAAACAGACTCTTTTTATGATTCATATTGGTCCATCCCTTCAAACGAGTTTAACCTCGCGCACTGCACTTAAGCGACTTCTGTCACTTCAACATTTAAAACACTTTAATATTTCACATGTGATTTCATGAGTTCACATCGCAATGTCACTCAAATTCAATCTATGCAAAATTATGTCGCTTTGTGTTTTTCAGCCCATCTTCAGTCCAAATGAGCAGAAATCCCGCTGAAAAGAGCACCAAAGTAAAATATCGTCGTCTGTCTGACTGCGGGGATAAAAGCTGATTACACTCGCAAAGATAATTAAGCGACCAGTGTGGGAGACTAAAATGCATGTAATAAAACGTGTAATTTTAAGACATTTTGTGAAACTCTGAGCGGCTAAAAGTGCATTATTCTGCAGCATGAAGCGCTATTGAGTCACTTCCGTCAAAGACTTTTGTGCAATATTAAAATGTCATAAATGCTAGGGCATATTCTGCGTAAATATCAGTATTTATCTAGAATATAAGCATTATATGGTGTGAATGACCATGACACTTAACTCTTAAAAAAATTAAATCCTAATACATTAGAAATATACGGATAGTTGTTTTTGTTGACCCTGTAAATAATAACACCATGAATACCATGCAAGTCCATGCCATGCATAATATTGGGGATAGCTATGGTTATTTATATAAAACTTAACCTTAAAAGTCCAAGTTGCAGCGAAGAAGAGACACAGAACATCAGAGCTCCAGGTTTATAATAATGTATCTGTCACTTTAAGTCACTATTCACATACATGTGATAACACCACATTTCACGAATTGACAGAAAGTAGAAAACAAACTGAAATTAGGGTGAATACTAACCTATAAATCATGAATGCATATTTCTATTTAGCAAAGGCTTACTTAACAGCCAGCTATGATTTGGGATGCATAACTCTCAAAACTCCTGTCTCACATGCCATTTTTAAGGATGATATGCAAAATAGTATAGTGTAGTTTTTTTTAATTAATCTAAAAATACTTTGTTAAAAATATTGTTCTGTGCACACTGCAAATAAAAAAAAATACATGTTAAAGTGTAAAGAGATTGCTTTGATTTGTTATTTAAAAGGGTCATAATGATGCTGCTAAAAAGAACATTATTTTGTGTATTTGGTGTAATGAAATGTGTTTATGCGGTTTAAGGTTAAAAAAACACATTATTTTCCACATACTGTACATTATTGTTTCTCCTCTATGCCCCGCCTTTCTGAAACGCGTCGATTTTTACAAAAGCTCATTGGTCTTTCGTCCACGGTGAAAGCCGATCCGGCGATCCACAGCGCAAAGTTATAGTATTTCCTCAGCGACCAGCACGGATTAGCTTCAGGCAGGACGGAGGAAATAGATATCGTCCTCTTTTGGAAGACCAAACAAAGTAGTTTCGCTTTCACAACGAAGCACATAGCGCCTTCACGACATGGCGGCGGCAACAACAATACTACAGCGAGAATAAAAGTTACGCCTTCTTTCTTTGCGTGAACACTTCAACATTTAAAACACTTTAATATTTCACATGTGATTTCATGAGTTCACATCGCAATGTCACTCAAATTCAATCTATGCAAAATTATGTCGCTTTGTGTTTTTCAGCCCATCTTCAGTCCAAATGAGCAGAAATCCCGCTGAAAAGAGCACCAAAGTAAAATATCGTCGTCTGTCTGACTGCGGGGATAAAAGCTGATTACACTCGCAAAGATAATTAAGCGACCAGTGTGGGAGACTAAAATGCATGTAATAAAACGTGTAATTTTAAGACATTTTGTGAAACTCTGAGCGGCTAAAAGTGCATTATTCTGCAGCATGAAGCGCTATTGAGTCACTTCCGTCAAAGACTTTTGTGCAATATTAAAATGTCATAAATGCTAGGGCATATTCTGCGTAAATATCAGTATTTATCTAGAATATAAGCATTATTTGGTGTGAATGACCATGACACTTAACTTAAAATTAAATCCTAATACATTAGAAATATACGGATAGTTGTTTTTGTTGACCCTGTAAATAATAACACCATGAATACCATGCAAGTCCATGCCATGCATAATATTGGGGATAGCTATGGTTATTTATATAAAACTTAACCTTAAAAGTCCAAGTTGCAGCGAAGAAGAGACACAGAACATCAGAGCTCCAGGTTTATAATAATGTATCTGTCACTTTAAGTCACTATTCACATACATGTGATAACACCACATTTCACGAATTGACAGAAAGTAGAAAACAAACTGAAATTAGGGTGAATACTAACCTATAAATCATGAATGCATATTTCTATTTAGCAAAGGCTTACTTAACAGCCAGCTATGATTTGGGATGCATAACTCTCAAAACTCCTGTCTCACATGCCATTTTTAAGGATGATATGCAAAATAGTATAGTGTAGTTTTTTTTAATTAATCTAAAAATACTTTGTTAAAAATATTGTTCTGTGCACACTGCAAATAAAAAAAAATACATGTTAAAGTGTAAAGAGATTGCTTTGATTTGTTATTTAAAAGGGTCATAATGATGCTGCTAAAAAGAACATTATTTTGTGTATTTGGTGTAATGAAATGTGTTTATGCGGTTTAAGGTTAAAAAAACACATTATTTTCCACATACTGTACATTATTGTTTCTCCTCTATGCCCCGCCTTTCTGAAACGCGTCGATTTTTACAAAAGCTCATTGGTCTGAAAAGCGAGGTGTGCTTATGCAAATCTTCGCACATCGTGACGTAGACATGTGGGGCGTGTTAGAACGAGCCGTTTTAGGTAGGCGTGGCTGACTCTTAACTTTTATAAAGAATATCTCTTTGGATTTTAGACTTTAGTCTTTGCAACTTTACAGATCTTCTTTATGCACCAAGAGCTTGTAACACTCCAAAGAGAAAGGAAAAATTGAAATCGCATCATATGACTCCTTTAATATGTATGGTTATTATTTTAAAAAGTAAAAAAAGAAAAGAAAAGAAAGCGCTTTAATTACAAGATTAGTTTACAGTTCATAAATTGGGACAAATAAGTATGTATGTAATCTTACTTTGTCCATTATACATAAATTGGATACATAATCAAAAACAACAATTAGTTGGGCAAATATTACACTTTAACAAATAAAGGCTTTCCAGACCACAAAAGGTTCTTTATATTGGAAAAAAAGGTTCTTTAGATTATTAAAATGTTGTTCACACTGAGAAATAGTTTGTTTAAGAACTGTTAAAGGGTTTTAACAGTTCATCTTTCATGAAAACTAACAGTACTTAAATGTAATTATTTATTATAATCTGCACTTTTTTCCAGGTCGTGGAGTGGTGAAGCAAGCTGTGATGGTTTAATTCATTACTGAGTCACATGATCCTTCGAAATCATTCTAATATGCTGATTTGCTGCTCAAGAAACATTTCTTGTTATCAATGTTGAAAATGGTTCTGCTGCTTAATGAAACCACAATACAGTGTCTTTTTTTCAGGATCCTAAACAGAAAGTTTGAAGAACGCCATTTATTTGACATTTAGACACATTGACATTGGTGACATTGAGAGACACAATTTGACATTTATTTGCAACATGCGTCATTTTAGATCAATTTAATGTGTCCTAGCTAAAAATATAAATAAAAAAATAATAACTAATATAATTATTGTAATAAATTATATATTTTATTATATTGTTCCAACACCTCTAATAATATGATACAAATCGCAAGGGAGATATGATTGGATATAGTTGGATATAAATGTATTTCTTAAAACAGTTAATGATGAATCTTAAGAATGTCCAGAAATCTTTTTACTTTAGCAGATACATCATAAAATCTGTAAAGTTAAATCAGGTGCAATTGAATCAATGAGCAACATTAACAGTAGGGGGCAGCAGAGAACAATTCAAATCTGCTTCCTGCACTAATGTCATTCATACGACCTGACGATCTTCAAAAGTTAACAGCCCTTATCATCCTAACATTGTCTGTGCTCAATACAAAAATAAAGTGAATAAGAAATATCTCTGGGTCACTAATTAAATTTGTGGCATTAACGGTAACCTCTTTTGAACAACATATCCGATTTCCTTGCATGCTGGATAACATGATCATCAGCTTCAGTTAGCTCAAGAGGGTGCTGTGATAATGAAATGATTTGGCCAAATACTAATTAAATAATAAATAAATAAAATCGGAAATTCTGAAATATTTTCGATTCATTTTTCACTCAGATTGTTAAACTGATATCAGCCTAAATTATGCAAGGAAATCTGACCTTTAGTGCAAAAAAAAGTTAAAGGGGTCATATGATGTTGCTAAAAAGAACATTATGTTGTGTATTTGGTGTAATGAAATGTGTTTATGCGGTTTAAGGTTAAAAAACACATTATTTTCCACATAATGTACATTATTCTTTCTCCTCTATGCCCCGCCTTTCTGAAACGCGTCAAAGAATATCTCTTTGGATTTGAGACTTTAGTCTTTACAATTTTACAGATCTTCTTTATGCACCAAGAGCTTGTAACACTCCAAAGAGAAAGGAAAAATTGAAACCGCATCATATGACCCCTTTAAGACATTTGATGAGTGACTCAGAAATAGTGCAGAATCTTAAATATCTCTTTTCATTTATGTTCGTTTTACCTTTTTCTAAATCCTAAAACTTTCTGTTTATTTAGAAGCTGAAACGGAAATAAAATCAAAGGTACAAAAGCTGTCACTGGGCCGGTATCCTTTATGTATAAAAATGCACTTTTAAAGTACTGATATTTACCTCTAAGTTACTAATATGCACCATTTAGGGGTAAATTAGGTACAAAGATGTACGTTTTGCTTTTGTACCTATGGTACTGCCTTTACAGCTTTGCACCATTTTTTCTGTACAGCATACAAGCTATTGTAAGCTTACTAAAAATAGATCTTGCTATCTATTATTAATGTATATGTATATTGAAAGATTGTGTTTGTGTGTGTTGTGTGTGGTTATTTAGATGTGTGTGTGTGTGTGTTTGTAGCACAGCAGTGGGGTGAGTGTGTGTATGTCCTGTCCACAATAGTGCCCCTCTCATAGACAATGAGGCCCGGCAGAGAGCGGCCTGTGCTCTATTATACCCATAATCCCCGTGGCTTTGTGCTCTGCCGAGAGAGAGAGCGAGAGAGACAGAAAGAGAGAAAGAGGGAGGAGGGACAAACGTGTGCTCATCCTAAACAACTCTCATCCAGGGTCAGATTCACAGAGAGACACAAAGAGAGAACAGTGGAAAAGAAACAATCACAGAGACACATTTCAAACGAAAGAGTTGGACAGGAAATAAAGCTTTCAAAAACTGGGGCTAACTGAAACTAGATTTTTACACACACAAAAATATATGAATGTGCTTGCTACAAAACTTGCCACCATAATGCTAGTGTGTACTTGGTT